AGTTTTTAAAGTAAGTCTTGTTGCAATAATATGTAATTGAAAAAAATTATATCCTCTCTTTGGCTCAAAAATGTTACATTAAGGATTGGGCACATATTTTATGATAAAAGTTTAACATTTTTGACATATATGCCTATCCCATAAAAGTGTATAGTTTCCTTAGACAACAAACACTTATCAGAGAAAATTGTATGTTACACCCCACCACTGGTTTGCTGTTTTAGTACTGAAGCTATTGTATTCAGATTATCTTCTATAACAATTGATTTTTTTAATCAACTAAAGCAGTGGTTCTTAACCTTTTAGCAGGTACCAAAACCCCACCAGCTTCATAATCACATTCAGCAAACCCTTCTATATAGGAAAATGATTTTTTTTTTCAAATTAAAACAGTTATATAATTGTATTGGTACGCAAAATGAAATGTGCATCATCACTGTGTTCAAAATACAATAAAATATGATCCTCACACTAAAACAAAATAATGCATATTTACCCGAATGTGCGGCTTAACCTTGAATTAAAGCATGCATTGTGTTCTAGTATTTTCTATCTCCATTATATTTTTAAAATTAAATTTTAGGTTGGAGTAATTCAAGGTTCTTTGTTGGCTATAGAACACATGAGAAAAGATAAGGGTGGCAAAGGTGGAAAAATCATTAATATTGCATCAATGGCAGGTTAGATATATGGATGGTAACTTTAATTTGAATGTGTTGCAAATGCATGTTAATATTGTTAAGTACCTTAAGTGATTCATGAAATGCAATTGATTTTTCTATTTCATTTTTATAGTGGTTTTATAATTGCATTATAATTTTTATTTGATGCTAGCAACCCATACTGAAAACTCCAAAAACAAGCAATGTTAGCTAAGGATTGGAGCCCCTTAGTCAGTAAGATCCCTTTGTGGGACCTTCATCCCCAGGCTGCTATTTGCTAAAATAGGCTAAAATATATGATTGCACTTCATACAGCAGATTCATGGTCTCCTGTTACTGGGGCAATGTATATTAATAATATTATCATTACTAAGCACAAAAACTGCAGCATTTGATCACAGTATATACTACTTTGCATTATTTTAAAATATAGGTTTAACAGGAGTCTATTTCAGCCCATTTTACAGTGCTACTAAATTTGGTGTAGTGGGATTTCATTTAAGCTGGGCAGTAAGCAATATTTCTTCCTCATTCTTATATTTATCAGTTTTAGTCTCCTTTACAAAAACACCTTAAAAAGGGAGCATTTGTTTTTGAATAGGGGAATCCTCATAATGAGAAGTTAGGTTTACAGTTTGGATGTCTATGCCCAGCCTTTGCAGCAACACCTATTATAGAGATGAATGAAAATCAAATGCTTTACTTTGAAGAAGGAAAAAAGTTGATTGAACAACTTGGTGTTATCAAGTAAGACAATATTTAAAATTAAAACCCTCCTTTTTTAGCCAGTCATGAGACAATTTGCTAATTTTAGTAATTGATGATAGTTATTCCAGATTTCACTCTGAATAAACATAATTGGTTATGAAGTTGCACCTATGCTACCAAAGAATTTTTTGTTACAGAGTTGAAACCGTGGTGGATGGATTTTTGCAACTGGCTGAATCGGAAAACTGTAATGGGGACCTTATAAAAATTTCAGTGAAAGATGGCATTCAACATGCCAGAAAAGGCCAAGTAGTAAAAACAAGTCGATTATAAATAACTATATCCCTGCCATTTTGGGAGATGCTATGGACCAAGCTTTTTTTTTTATTGTATGTAAAAAAGTAAAATTTAATTAAAGCGTAGTAAAATAGTAAATTTTCATTTTTTGAGTCAAATAATACAAAACACAAGTAGTTCCACTCATTTTGAATATTTATTTAACTATGTACATGACATTTCCTGGCACACAATAAGCATGGTCCACAATTGAGGACTATTGGATAAAAAGCATTCAAAAATAGCCCAACTCTAATTTACAGTATGAACATTACAATGAACTATGAGTCAAATTTGTCCAAAACATTCCTCAGATATTGAGTACTGTTGTCCATTAAGTACAGAGTACTCTTCAAGTTTTGTGAATTGACTGAAGAAGGGCAAATTTATTATCTTAAGAACTTCACAAAATACATACAACATTAAAAATGTTACAACTTAAAAAAGTGCCAGGCAGGTTTCAAAATAATACATTATTTCAACAATGAAAAATACAAACTCTCAGTTACACCCAGTAGCACTATCATACATAACCATTCATCATATTTAAAAACTTTAAAAATTATCAACGTTTGTATGGATGGTATCCTTGAGTTGTGCTACCACCACCAGTGCTTGGTGCCCTGCCCTGTGTTTGTGTCTGTTGATATCCATTACCATATCCATCTTGAGATCCACTGCCTGTATAACCTAAGAAACAGTAAAATTGTAAATATAAGTAATATTGTTAAAGAGAAGCTTTTGAAAATGAGCAAAATACTTTATGGCATAGGTGAAAGTGTCCTTACACCTATAACAACTTAGTATGCAATCACATGTTTTATTTCTTTTATTTTTGCTAACTGTTGTGCAGAAGTCTTTGGAATGAATATAGTGAGCTAAGTTTTACAAGGCAAGTGAACAAAAACTCATCTCTATAAAGAGAAAAAAGAAACCACTGGTAACAAAAACTTTGCTCTCATTATTCATACCTTGATTGCCTCCACTATAATTACTAAATCCTTGACCACTGTAGCCCCCATAGCCTTGCCCTTGACCTGAACAAGAAAATTATTAAATTTCTATGCATGTTTCTTTTAAAAACACTCATTGAAATAAAACAATTTCATAACGGCTTCCCAGTTGCACAATTTTTAAAACTGTCTTGAGTCACGAATTAAAGTTAAAAGATGTATTTCACATACTAGTTAATGGTCAAGAGCCAAGCAAAAATACTAATTAAGTGCAGTACAGCGAAACGATGCAGCTTTAAACTCATTTGCAACTAAAAACCATATTCATTTACAACTAAAAACTGTCAAAAATCTCCGGATAGTAAACCAAGTGAGACAACATAACACTGAAATTTTTAAAAATAGGAAAACCATTTGCTTTGTAATTAGATGTTTAGCCAAGACAAATGTGAAAATATGTTTAATAATTAACAAAGAGCATTTACTATTTAGGGCTAAGTTGGTGATGCAAGCACGTGGTCCAAATCTGCCAGCAAGTACCTCAGTATTTTTACTTGTACTTACTAAGCTACATGTATCATATTCTTTATAAAAACTTAATTTACAGGAAATCAAGCTAAAATTTTCAGGGACATCTCATTCATGTACTACGCTTAGTACTTGAGAATAATGCATAAGCGATCTTTGCATTACAATATGGTAGAATGGACAATGGGGCAGTAATGGCGGTCAATTTAGTAAGGAATTTTGCATCTGGTCTGACAGTGGACCGACCAAGTGAACATAATGTTCTAACTATACACCAGTTTGGACATAAGGAAACTGATGCTGACAGGCTTTATGAGAATGGAAAATCTTCAAGTTTCCATTGTCATACCTTGGCCACCACCATAATTATTAAATCCTGAACCACTGTAGCCACCATAGCCTTGGCCTTGACCTGGGCAGAGAAAAAAAAATTGTTCCCAGAACATGTCCCTGTTCCATGGAATGCTAAGATCACTGTTAAAACAATTTGCTGATTTGTATCAAAATAATGTATATGAACACAAAGTACTTTGTGAAAATCAGCAAACTAGTTAACAGTGTTTAGCTGAGCCACTTTCTTACCATTAGGTTGCTGGCCACCCCAGGCCTGCTGTTGTCCATATCCTTGCTGTCCATAACCCTGACCACCATAACCTTGCTGACCCCAGTTCTACAGTGAAATAAATGGAAAAAATTAATACCATTTGCACCACAATATTTAGCTAACTAAACAATTTAGTACAGAAATCAGTTTACCTGAGGGTATCCTTGTGCACCACCATAACCTTGCTGCCCCCAGCTTTGATCGTAACCTTGATTACCATATCCCCCATAACCTTGTTGTTGACCATATCCATACTGATTCCAATTAGAACCATCACCCATGCCTCCCCAACTTTGATCACCATTGAAAGAACCATGCATAGCTTTGCCACCTCTACCACCACCACCTCCCTGTCGGGGTTCAGCTCTTTTGCATTCAATCTAAAAGGCAGAAGGAACAAATATTAAATAAAGCAAAATGAACTCTAAACCCACAATGGACTCAACACACACACATACAGGCCATCCAGTTAAACTATAAATTAATTGCACACAAAAAAAAAACACGCTAGTCCATTGGCATCGCAATTCAAAAGAGCTTGCTATTCAAGGACTTTTAAGAGCAACAGTAAAACATTGTTGAAATGATGCAAAATGCAAATAATTAAAAATTGGTATCTTGATTAAGAAGTGACAAATAAAATGATGGCACAAACTTTTAGAGTAACTAATTATTAACCAGATAACAAAAGTATTAAAAACCTAACTTATTATTTAAATCTATTTTTTAATTAGTGATTTAAGCTGTCTGCACAACTAACAACACACTATTTATAAATAATTACGTAAAACAGCCTTTGCTCTAAACATTGTCAAAAATATTAAGTATAATACAGGTATTGATTTATAAATATTAACAAATGCAAAGGTATAGAACACTTCAGTAAAATACTATTTATTTAATTTATATCTTTTGTAAAAAGTATACAAAAAATGTAAAATCTTAAGTTTAAATAATTACTTCAATATTTAATAGCAACAGTTGTGTAAAAGTGCAGCCATTTCACTTAAATCTTATAAATAAATACCAAAATGACTAAGTAAAGGAATAACTTAAAATTTTTAAGTAATTAAACTGCAGTCCATCAGTTCCACCGTCTCGAGGATCTCTGAATTCTAGGAAAAAATTCATCGCAAAAAGCCATCTTCTTAACCAAACCAAGAGGTGTTGCAACTTAGCAACGACTAAGTTGCAAAGGTATACCAAAGAGACTCATTTAACCTTTTTTCCATTGAAGTCCATAAAGTGTTCTTTAACTGCTGCCTCAACTGCATCTTCACTGTCGAAGGTCAAAAATCCAAAGCCTACGGGTAACATAACCAGAAGAGAAATAACATTTGCAAGGTCAGCTAATCATGCTAAATTAAATGTACAAGAATCATACAGCAGACAAAAAAAATCTGCCAAAAGACAAAATAAACATTAACATGGCTGTCATTCTGTCACTCAAAAATTGTAAAAACTGTACTTACTTTTAATTTATTTTCCCAAATACTAGAATTCAGAAATTATTCCTCTTAACAATAGCTATTTACTTAAAAAAATTTAAACCACAGAAACAGCATGACTGACAAATACTGTAAACATAGGTTAGAGATAAATCAGCTGTTTAATAAGATGAAATGTTAAGATAAATAAAACAGAAAACCTAGAAAGAGTAAACCTTAAGAATAGATATCTCAAAATTGTAAAAGGCTAATGACATTGTCCAAAAATGTTTAAACCACGACTATCTTAGGTTTGAGATCTAAGATAAGCAAACTCACATAATGCCGTGAGATAAAAATTACCTAAACAGCATAACTGAGAATTATATGAACAATAGGTGCTTTAAATAATACATTTGATAGTAAAGGTTTAAGAAACGCTAATTTGAACATCTACAACCTCTTGATCCAATGTGGTATCAGATTAAAACAGGCAATAATTAAAAACATCCACAATGATGTACTAACTAGGATTATTTACCTAATAAATAGACATGTGACTAAACTTAAAAAGATTACTGCATGTACAACTAAAAATTATTAAAGAAACTCAAATCTAACCAAACATTAAGATATCTACTAAATAGCACATGTGAAAATAAAACTAGAGCTATATAATCTACACTTATTTTATTATAAAAAATATTGACCAGCATGACTGCTCTATTAACAAATCAATGTCAAGAAACTAAACTCCAGGTTGGATTAAAATATTAGCAGATGTATAAATACTAAATCACACTTATGTCCTATTGAACTCAAATAGTTATTTAAATGAATAGATTCAACAAATTAACCCCAGAATATGAGTTTTTCATAAAAAATTAGCAATAAAGATAAGCTGCCTCAAAATAATGAGCAAGGTAAATTTAAGAGCTGCAACAGAATTTAAACAGCAATCTTATCAGACAGAAAGAAAGCCTTTATAATAAAGTATGTGAAATGATATAAACTGTATTGGGAGAATTATAAACAAGCTGTAATGATATTCAGATGCTACTGCTAACACGTCCCTTTTTCCTTCAAGTGTGAATAGGGTTATTGCCTTTAAAAAGCGGATTAAGAAATATCAACTCTTACCTCTGGGTCTGGTCTTTTCCTCATCATACATAATAACTACATCAACAACCTGCAAAAGCATTAATGGTAGTTTAGAGGCCTAGACTTAATATATACAAAGAGATGTGAATTAATGCTTATTGTTAAAACAGCAAGACAATCATAATTTTTATCAATCGCGTTACACCTACCTCTCCAAACCTGGAAAAATAACTCTTAAGATTGTCATTATTGGCATCATTAGGCAAGCCACCAACAAATATTTTTGTAGTTCTTCCAGTATAGCCACTCCCCCCACCTCCTCCACGACCTGTGCCCTGTGTAAAAAGATTGTTGTCAGACAAATGCTAATATTTGAGGCAAAATGTCAAAACATTAGGATAATTGAGGATTAAGAATGACATGAGCAGCATACCTTTCCTGCACTTCCTGCTGAGCCCCTTGCACTGCATGCTTTTGCATCAACCTATTATCAGAAAAATTAAATTGTTATGAGAAATGATCTGAAAACAACATGACTGTACTGATACACAAACAAGCAAATAAACATACATTTCTTCCATCAATTGTGTGTTTTGAGGTAGCCAATATAACATCTACTGCTGATGGATCTTTAAAAGTAACGAATCCAAATCCTCTTGACTTTCCAGTTTGTGGATTGTTCATAACAACACAATCTGTAACCTCACCATACTGAGAAAAATATGACTGAAGGGCATCTAGATAAAAAGAAAATTTTTAAACATTAGCAAAAAAAATGTCAGGCTATACATTTAGCACAAAGACTAACATTTAAGTGTACATTTTCAAATTATTATTTATTTACCTTTATCGGTATCCCAACTTAATCCTCCAACAAAGATTTTTCTGAAAAGAATGTTCAGAAATAAAAATTTTTTACTTTGGCTTAAGATTAAAAAACTTACTGAGTGGCTAATTTGACATATTTTAAGTGATAGGTCTAGATCTTTTAAATAAAGTAGGGACAAATATAAAGTAGATACATAATTTGATTAATCAGACTACAAAATAAAAACAAATATCATTGGTACTTATTAAAAAAAAATATTAGCAGCTAAATATGACAGGAATTTAATATATCTGCTAAAGCTCAAACTTTTATGATCTAAATCTACAGTTTGTGAATTCTGGTTAACTTGTTTAGTTATTACAAATTTATTTTCACTTTATCTTATTCCTTTGTTCATCTTGAAAAGGTCAACTAATAAGATTTAGCTTGACATAATCAACTTCGTATAGAGTAATTTACCGTTGCGGACACAGAAAAAAGTCGGACTTCCATGCGGTCTCATTCAGTAACCGCTTAACATAGAAAACAAAAAAAAAGTATCATAACACTCCGCAACCAATCTACTTTAATAATGTGTGTGTCATTTTGTATTCAAACGCATAGAACTTTAGCTATTCTTGTTTTAGTGACTTACATGTGCGCGAAAAATTTTATGCAGTGTTCAAAATTTTGCATGTGTTTTAACACTTTTAACAGCACATTTTGTTCATTTAGAATAATTTAAAGTCAATTGAAAGAATAAAAACATATATGCGTTTATACTGTGTTATTGATTGTTTGTGAGGTAATTTTAATAGTTTAAACCATTTCCCACACTCCCAAAGTTCATCCCATTCAGCCACTGTCGATCTGTTGTGACTCGCGCAGTTCGCTGCTAAGCCAGCCAAGTCACTTAATTTCCCCCCCTCTTTCACCGACCACTGCCTTCTTGACCTTATTTCAAGCCTTTCCCTTCAACAACCAGCCCCTTGTACGCTCTAAATTCTTATTTAATAATATTTTTGTGTTGCCGTTCGCTTCCATGTAAGGCCAAAAAAGTTAGCGAACACCCCATTTTTATTGTACAAGTACAAAAAAAACCCTATTAACCTTGACATTTACGATGTTCCGTACATACATATATAGAAGCTATTTATAGTGTAACCTTTTTTTGAGAGAGAAAACGGAAGTACTTGACATGGAAGTGTTAATAAAAGAACAGTTTACGTGCAGGCGCCGTGGTTTCGCATGAGACATGCTAATTAAAGGTTCTATGAGTAAAAAACCGACCAAGTGTTCGGACAAGTGTAGTGTTCGCGCTTAAGTAAACCTTTAGTAGTAAGCTTTGAAACTATGCCACTAATAATTTAATTCAATCAACACTTTATAGTCTATCTTTTTCACATAACTATGCTAATTCAGCAAAATTATTGATATTTCAACTGGACTGTAAAAACCCCCAAACCACACTGCAAAATTAATGGAATCAATTAAACATGACTACTGAATGATAGACATCCATATTTAATTCATTAGGCACTAATTTTGACGTTTTAGTTCGTTTTAAACGAAATTACTTAATTTAATATTTATTGACACTCACAAAAATGCACAACACACCTATCCATGACAACTCTTCTTATGCTTGAAGCTATAGAAAACCACAAATAGGTTAGACTTTTTAAGTGGCCATGTACCGGAAGTTCCCCACTAGTGATCATCAAATAGCGGTCACGTGGTTTAAAAAAATAAATAAATTTGGTTGTCATTCAAAAGTCGTGTCTTATTTTAAAAAGCGCATGCAATATTTGATTTATTTCTTCATATAATGATAAACCTAATAGTTCTACAACCTCCAAATCATTTTTGTGACCTCCAGGCTAATATTTTAGAAGTTCTATTAATTTTAATGAGACCGACTTTTAAATTTAGCCTTCACTCTCCAAAGCAAATTTTAAAATGCTTTTCTGGCATATTTAGCCTTGCCACCTATAGCATGTTTTTATAGCGTGAAAACCCGCCATTTTACTCGTGATAAACATTTTTAAAAGTAATTCTAAGAAGGTCTCTGGAACTAAGACGAAAAATCGTCGGAAGTCATGCATCCGGTCTGTACGCCATATTGTTGTTAGCAACCGGCCACGCCTCCGGGTTAGCGAGAAATACTAAATCATAGAATTAGCTATTATCCAAATAAAATCATTATGTTGATCAGTAGGGTTGATCAGAGAATGATAACTTGGCAAAAACTGACCCATTTTGGACATTGTTTTGGCAACATTCAGTGCCGAGAAGCGGTTGAAAAAAAACGAACTAAAAATTGGTCATAAAAAAGTGGGTCAGGGGAGGTAATTCAACTTGCATTATGAGACTAGCTAACCGGTGTCCGATCATGGAATCTTTAGAAAAGGGTAGGCATTTTGGTAAATTTTGCCTAATTATCTCAGAATGATAAAACACACATAATATTGAAGGCCATAAACTGCCATTTAATAAACCACTAAATTTATCACTGTAGGCCCAGTAGTTTTTTTTTTATGAATTTTTTAAGTTGTATGTTAAACAGCTTATATTTTATTGTAAAGTTGCAAAATATTTGGTGTCCTTCTTTGAGTTCATATAGCGTTGTTATTTTTTTAACATGTAATGATAAAACTTTGCATATTGATACTAGAGAGTACAGGCAACAGGAATATGCAATTGAAATAAAGATCAGTAAAGGTAAAACCAAAAATAATTAAGACTAATTAAGGGTCATGGCGTTTTTATATAGAGAGCAACGTTAGTCTATTGTCAAACTGCACAACTCTGTTGTTAATAAAGATATATTGATAATACTTTGCATATTGGTGCTAGGGAGTACAGGCAACAGGAATATGCAAGTGAAATACAGCTTAATTAAAAGGAAAACAACTAATAATTAACTTAATAAAGCCCAATTAAGGAGTGCGGTGCCGTTCTACTATGATTGCCACAAGTCACTTTTCATACTGAATATCTATGTTGCTATTGATGATACAAAGATAAAACTTAGCACATAGATGCTTAAGGATGTTGGGAATAGAAATTTACAAGTCAAAAAAATGCTAGGAGAAAAAGACAATCACATATAAAGTCTAATTAATGGGGGTGGCACTGAAATCTTGTATCAATAATACCTGTGTATTATACTCATACTGGAATATGATATGGTTAGGATTATGTTGAAATATCTAAATATTAGTAGCATTAGTTATAGGCTACTTTTAATAAGTAGCCAAGGATGGTTAATCAATAGACAGCCTACAGAAACTAGATGAGATGTGTCGCAACCGAAGGATAGACAGCTGCCTTATTTGCTGATCTGAACCTACTGTTTAAAAAAAATTACTGTTGCTTAGTTTAAGTTATAAAATTAAGTCACATTGTTCAAAGTGTTACTGTTTCTGTTTTCTTTTTGACTTTTAAAAAAATGTATCTATCACTGTTGCTTTAGATCACATTATTAAAGTGAAGTGTTAATGTTTCTATTTTATCTTTGACTTCATTTATTTTACTTTCCATGCCTCTATAGATCTAGTAGTATATTTTAGCTATTATTAAATTTTAAAGATAATATACTATAATCTGAGAAATGACCAATTTAATCTTTGTAATTATTTTCTTAATCAGTTTTTCCTGAAACGGGGTAACTAAAGTTTAGACATCATCCATAAGTAATTTTACAACATAATTATATATTTAAGCTTGATGCAATAAATATTAGTTCTATTAGATTCTTATAAGCAATTACTCATTAAAATACATAGATCTAAATCTATTCTATAGGGGCCTAATATTTATAAGGGCCTATTTATTACTATTTAAAATTTTAATTAGGCCTATTATTATTACCCAATTGAAAATGACTAATATGGAAGATTATTAATGAATGGGACTATTAATTCCATTGCTTTAAATTTTATTTAATCCATAAAAAACATTCTATAAGCTAAAATCTTGCCAATTCAATGAATAGTGTTAAACAGTAATATCAAATGTGCGATTTTTTATATTTCATGCATATGGTCTATGGACCGTCATAAAAATTTAAACTCGGCCGTCATTAATATAAAATTGCGTAGATCCCCTTCACTTCACGCAAGAAGCAATATCTGGTTATAAAGAGCTAAAAAGCCCCATAAAACCAACATTTCCACCCATCAAAATAGTTTGGCATTACTTATTTACTAGATCTAGTTTCCTGAACTTATCTCTTTTTTAAATGCCGAAATTTGGTTCTATCGATAATAGGTAACCTCGCGGCCCCTATCGCCCTGTTAAAAAATTGTGTCAGCGGGACCCCCCCCAAGATTTACCAATGCTTTTTAAGCATGTTCCAATGAAAAGAACTCTATGAAACTGTTATTTTTGTTCTTGAGAATGGTTAGGATGCTCATTACAACTAATGTCTAGCTTATTATACTTTACTTTCTTGCTAAAATTAATACTAATTGAAAGAAGTCGGTTACTGCGTTTAATGAGACGTGCTCGCTAAGATACCTCGATAAAATTGGGATCGATATGTTAAAATGTAACTAATAGTTTTCCATACAAACATAGAATATAAAAACAGCCCACTTTGACGTATCGAATACATTAATTTATCGATTCTCTCATGATAACTAAGCACTTGGATGGAAAATGGCCGAAATTACAAAAGTTGGCTTGAAAAATTTCGGATGTGGCCAGATTAAACAAAATGGCGGACATCGAAATGCCTAGAAAAGGGGTGTTGGGTTGATAGTAAAATTGTAATCTCGACTAATTTTATGGTTAGAAATTTCAAATTAGGGTTAGGTGTATGCCAGTGTATGGTAGGACGAGGGTTGGGGTTAGGGGCAGGGTTAGCATTGACAGCCAGCCATGAGTGTATTTAAGTAAGGTAACTAACAGTAAACTAACACCAATTTTTAAAAGAAGATTCCATTATCGGACACCAGTATAAATATTCTCCCGAAGATAAATTTATCGACTATAAAATTCCCCCAAATATTGCGTTCCCCCCCCCCCCCCCCCCCCCACCCACCGGAGAGAAATTCTGACAGACTGGTTCGGCCCCTGATTAAGATCTAGGACAATTTAGGCATATTCGTAATACCGCAAACTAGGTGTCGAAATAGTCAAATTAAGGGCAACAATTGTAGGCCGTAGATAGCCCTGTAACTTTGTTAACCATTTTTAAACCCATGAACGCTGCCTTGCACTGGTAGAACTAGAAATCTCTACCTTTGGTTTTTAGGCCTGGCAAATTTTCAAATAAGTCTTAGGTTCATTTTGTTTTTTGATAAATAAGTAGTCTTGACAGCAATTTTTAATTCTTAGTTTGACATTAGTTGATGTTTATTTAAGTATTACGTACCCTTTTTCCATCGACATGTTAAGACCTGGTGTCTACTTGGTAATTGACTGAGTGACAAAGAAAAAACCTACACACGCGTTTTTCAAAATGGCGACGAATATGCCAGGTACAAAGTAGTTTGATAAATTAACGGCACATTTAAGCAATGAGAAAAATGTAGTTTTATTTACCATAGGCCTATGGCTGTACAGTAAGCGGAAAAATTGAATGTTATATGGTTAATGTAGTAATATCACATCATAATAGACTTAAACCATTTAATTTTATATATTACCTTGCAGTAATATATCTTAAAAGCGTTTAATTCGTTAAGCATAATGTAATAATAAAAAGGGTATTATATATTAACAGTAGTATATATATATATATGCAAATATATATATATATATATAAGTATATTATATGTAATTAACAATGCATGTTTTTATAATGAAAAAATCTAATAGGCCTAGTAAGTTATTTTATTTATATTTCCGACGATTTGTTCAGTCATTTATGTATACGTTTCCATCAGCCAACGAGGCAAACAAATTTCAAGCGTTTGGTGGCGACATCTAGGGCTATGGAGCCGAACATTTAGCGCTTATTCCTAACTCTAAGCCATCAACCTGTATGTTTAATATTAGAGCCCTCAAATCCTAAGCGAATATCTAGAGCACTCAATAGGCCCCTATACAACTTTTAAAATGCTACAATTAGTGCACTATAATATTATTTTACACTACACTAGGTCTAGTTTTAACAGCTACATACATAAGAAACACCCTTTCTGCGCATGCGCTAATTTGTTCTTAGCTTTCACCATCTCTGAGTAGGCCTGTAAAGGGGGGGGGGGGAAGAAATCTTGCAAAAAAAATCGAGATTTCGACCTAACTTTGACGCTTCACCCCTCCTTGAAACGATTTTTGATATGTCTGTACTCAAGTTATCGTGTTCACAGACAGATATACAGACAAGGTTGCAAAATTAAGTTTATCCGACGCAACGTCGCGTAAAACATTTTGATAAATCTGGATTTAGAATTTTTGCCCGATTTTAAAGTAAATCCACTAGGCCTAAAGAAACAAGTTAATAAAAAGTTTAGTGACAATTTAAGCGCAATTTCCTTATGTTATATCAATAACAATTTTAAATCGAGATAAATCATATATTCAGCAAATTTTTTGTGACCGAACGAAAGGATATTTTTGAAAACTTTCTTCGGCAATATTGTTCTAAATTATGGCAGGAATCGATTGGTAAATGTTTCAAGTCGTTATAGGTCTGGTTGCCGAGATATGGGCCAAAAACTGCATTTTTTTTTCGAGGTTTTTTGGCTTTTCCGGGAAATCCAGGAAGGAATTCCGGGAATTTTTTCGGCCCACAATCATCCTCGGAACTTGCTTAACATATTTGCTTTGGAACTAGCCCTCGATATTGCTTCGTTGAGGAGGAGATACGACTTAAAGCTGCGGACACACATCCATCCATCCACACAGAAAAAACCAATTAATAATCGCAATTGTCAGTATGGAAATTGCGCTAAAAATACTCCGTATATTTACGGTATATGTCAGTATAAGTATGATGAAGTACTGAGGTGTAAAGCGATGAAAACTCAAAATTTCATGCGATCTACACATTTGATATAATACTTTGTCCATTTTGGTTAACTACCCTTTAAAGATAAGTACGTGTTATACCTGGTTTCAGTAGATGTTCATTTTTGAAACATTTTAGTATGCTCATTGATGTTTTTGCCTTATAGTGGCCTTTACTGTAAATTAGAGGTATGTGTTGTGTCAGTAGGTGAACAGTAAAGTAGAATGTTGATCCCAATAAGTTGCCATTGTTAAGTTGATTGCGGGGACGCAATCGTTTTTGCGGGGGAAGCATGTTGGCTGGTACTCAATTGTTGATTCTTAAGTAAGCATGTTGGCTGGTACTCAATTGTTGATTCTTAAGTAAGCATGTTGGCTGGTAATATATTGTTTATTTTTAAGTAAAATGGTAACTTGGGTGCTTATTAAAGGGGTTTAGGTGACTGTATAGGACTAGTTACAGAAACCCAAGTGGTTAATCTAAGATGTTGGGGATGAGCAGGCCAGGGAAATCTAAAATTTAATTAAAATGTTATCGGCTCACTCTGGTCGTAAGGGCTACGAGCTCTATGCAGGTGCATGAGTGACACGTAATGCTGGGAAGAAACCCGCGTTTATTTATGTCTAAAGTTGAGTCCGGGCATGCCGCTGGACGTCACGGTTGGATCGTGACTCATGATCTGCAGGTGGACGTCGGAAACGATTCCGATGACCTTAGGGACTAATTATCGCCTGGGCCAGATAGTTAGACGCGAGCAGCGTAGGGACATGTAGTGGTCAGTTGTTAGGTGTGAAACGCGGCGGGAGTGCCGTGTGGCCGTACGTTAGCTCGAGCGGTGTATGACACGATCGTTAGCCCTGAGGCAACGGGAAGATCTATAGCGGTGTTCAACGCATTGGTGCATAGGGACCGGTGTTATCTCGAACAGAGTCCGACTCGGATCCTAGGTCTCTAGGGAGATGATATAAGGGGGGCAAGACTAACCTATATATGAGGAAGGGCGATTATGTTGAGGTCTCTCTCTCACAGACACATAGCTGAGGCTAGACACTATGGTCTAGGCCTTGGAGGGTGACAGCCTTTAGGGTTGGCCACTAAGGCTGGTTTATTGGCCCAGCCGATGTTTTGTTCTTGTACATATGTGCTTCGTTCCAGATATTTACATATGTGACCTATGTTTATACATGTGACCAATGTTGTACCAGTGGCTGGAAAACTTCCTGCCGTGTAGATGTTCTTCGTTCCAGTGGTCACTATCTTTGTGGCCCAATGTTTGTACCAGTGGCCAAATGTTTTATTCCAGTGGCTGGAAATCTCCCTGCCGCTTGAGTGTCAAGCTAGATTGTTGTGAGTACTGATGAGTATTCATAGAAGGATTCAAACCGTGTTTGATTAGTGGAATCAGAACTAGTGATGTTAACATTTACCCGTGTGATTCTGAGATTACATAGCAGTGCAAGTAGTAAAGTTATAACTAGATCTAGAGACGATGACATTTACGTTTTTGATTTTGAGATTACAAGTGAAATTGGGACTAGGAAGAACAACATTTACCCGTGTGATTCTGAAATTACACAAGCAGTGCAAGTATTTAAGTTAGGGCTAGAGGAAATGACATTCATATGAGTAAATTCTGAGTTGTGTAATGTAGGTTTGCTATCCACACTTATTTTTGTGTTTTCTATGAATTAATGTCAGTAACTACGGTGAAAAAATCTGCATCGAAATGTAAGTTTGCTTATCTTTGTCTTTTTTACTTGTATTAGAAATTCAAGTGATGTTTTCTTAAATATGAAAGACTGGCCAGGTCTTATTTGTATTGTTTGTTTTGCCTTTAACATATAAACCTTTGTGACGTCAAATGAAGATAAATAAATGTTTTAGCTGTGTGTTACTAAGTTTCATTTTTAGTTTAATATTGGGGTTGTTTAGATGTTAATTAGTTTTGCTCAGGTCTATTAGACCCCTTTGTCACAACACAAAGGTGCACGGATATGAGAGAATAATACCATCTTACCATCTCTCTCCAATCGGTGTATCCCCTAACATTTGGTAACAACGAGTGGGATTTAAAACCATATCCCTCTCTTCAATCGGGTAACTCAAACCACACCCTAACATCAGTGGCGTAGCGAGGTCGGGTGTCACCCGGTGCGGCACTTAATGGTGTCACCCCCCCCCCCCCAGAGGCGTAGCGACCCTTCCCGGGGACAAACTTTCAAATTTTCGATTTGCACCCCCCTCGAACTTTCGATTTGCACTCCCCCCTCAAGTTTTCGATTTGCACCCCCCCCCCCCTCGAACTTTCGATTTGCACCCCCCCCCCCCCTCAAGTTTTTCTCTATATATTTGGCTATTTTTTGCCTTGGTGTCACCCCCCTAAATGGTGTCACCCGGTGCGGTCCGCACCCCCGCACCCCCCCCCCCCCTCGCTACGCCCCTGCCTAACATATATGTGCGTAAATAATATCGCAGACTTCTCAGTTAATAAGTTGTTTGCTTGGGGTTACAATATCATCTTCCTTGCATTCGAAATATGACAATTCCACCGTTAAATAAGGTTTTACAGATGTCGAATTGTAACAGCTTTTGTAACCACAATCAACCTAATCCAACAGGTAATTATTACGATTATTGCAGATTACGTGAAAGTGCGACAGTTTGAATTGCGCATCACCAGCAGTGGGGTAGCTATCGTAAAGCTAGCGCAAGCGAGGACCATTGGGGCCATTTTCCTTCGTTGAAAAATAAATCTTTTACATTTAAATTTAAAAATTTGTTTTATATAAATTAGGCTACATGCATTGCTACAAATCTTAACTGACTGGAAAATTCCCTATCCAACCCCCCCCCCCCCCCCCCATCTCCCTCCCAACTGTCTGCCCACATTGAAATTCACAACAAGCTGTCCAAAGTGTGTCAATGTTTTTCTACCTTAATCACATTTTGCTTGTTGATCTAATATATCTTTAATCAATATGGCGCTAATAACACTATACGATTTGTCTTTTGTAATAGATTGAAATAATTGTGAGGTCAAGGGAACTCACTCTTCTGTATTAGTTATATTTATAATATTGTTATCTTGAGTGATGTCCCTTGTGTACTTCCTTCCGTCCTCTCTGTGTGTTACCATCGTGGTAGTTAGACCCAAATAAATGTGTTATATACAACCACAGGCTTCTGTCGTCAATCTATTATAACTGGCGACGAAGGATAAACATCGACTAGAAAGAGCACCTACTTACGCAAAAAAGAGGTTTGCTAGAGCTTATTAGCTAATTATTTCTAGAATTATGGCGCTGTATGGCCAAATAAAAGAATTTGATGCGAATGATGAAATCATTCAAGATTACCTAGAGAGGTTAAGCTTTTACCTAGAAGCTAACGACGTGACGATAGAAGCCAAAAAGAGAGCTGTTTTGTTAACAGTCATAGGGCCTCAACAATTCAGGCTACTAAAGGACTTATGCGCACCAGCTAGTCCAGATACCAAGAGCTTTAACGAGCTGAGCAAATTGCTAACAGACCACCATGCGCCTACCCCATCAAAGTTTTTATGTAGAGCTAGATTTGACAGTAGGACTCGTCAACCAAACGAGTCAATATCAGAATATGTTGCTGCTTTACGTCATTTAAGTAGATTCTGTGAATTCGGAGACACGCTGTCTGACAGACTATGTGAAAAGTTTGTGACAGGTGTAAACAGCCCTGATATTCAAAGAAAGTTGCTGCTCGAGTCAGATCTAAAATTAGAAAAAGCAATACAACTCGCAACTTCAATCCAGCAGTCATCAGATGCGGCGAGATCTTTAGCACCTTCAGGGATCCATGCAGTAAACAGCAGGTTAGTCAATAAACATCAACCCCATCAGAGCATTCCAACTTATGCTAAACAGCCTGCTCGTTCAAATCCTAGATCTAAATCTAGTAATAATTATCAAAAATGTCATCGATGCAAAGGTCCCCATGCATCTCATCGGTGCAAGTTCAAGTCTGCAACTTGTTATAAGTGCAGTGAGCAAGGTCACATTGCTAAGGCCTGCTTTGCAAAGTCTTCGTCTGTTGCTAAATCTAGCCAGTCAAGACAGTACCGCAACCAAAGGCAGCACTATGTTAACTCTCACCAAGACTACCTAACCCAACCAATGAACCACTCTACCTGTGAAAATGCTCAAACTGATTCGCAGCCGGATTTCAACCTGTTCTCTGTGAAATCAATAAGTCATGCTCCCATCAATGTACCAGTTAATATCAACGGTAAGAGCATCAGCTTCCAACTTGACACTGGAGCATCTCTAACAGTCATAACAAAGAAAGATTTTGACGCTATCACAGGAGGATCAGTGCCTCTACAACCAAGTCACAAGTGTCTAACAACATACACTGGTGACAATGTTCCGGTAATAGGAGAGTGTATGGTTCATGTAAGTTATAATGGTCAAAGTGTTAAACTTCCTCTTCTTGTGGTTGAAGGAAATGGACCGCCATTACTAGGTAGGAACTGGTTAAGTGATCTTAAGTTAAATTGGGAGAGTATTTGTTCATTGAAGAATGTAAAAGAATCTAGTCTTACTTCACTAGATAAAGTTATATCTGAAAATAAATGTGTTTTTGGCAATTCAGGTTTACTAAATGATAGAACAGTGAAGTTAAGCATTAAAGATACAAATCCAAGATACTGCAAAGCTAGAGTTCCACCTTATGCAATGAGGAATAAAATTGAAAATGAGCTAAGTAGATTGGAATCTAATGGCATTATAAAGAAGGTAGACTATTCCGATTGGGCAACACCCATTGTGCCAGTGTTAAAGAAGGATGGTTCTATAAGAATTTGTGGAGATTATAAAACTACACTGAATAAGCAAATAGAGCTAAATAGGTACCCTATACCTAACATTGAGGAAATTTCTTTGAATTTGGCAGGAGGAGACAAATTCACTGAATTAGACTTTAGTCATGCTTACACTCAACTAGAACTGCATCCAGATTCAAAAGTCTATACGACAATAAACACACATAAAGGACTCTACCAATATGAAAGACTATGTTTTGGCATATCATCCAGCCCTGGAATTTTCCAAGCTGTCATGGACAGTATTTTTAAGGATATTCCAAATGTTTGTGTGTACTTTGACAATGTGTACATAACTGGTAAGAATGACACTGAACATCTTAAAACACTTGATAAAGTATTAAAAATTGTTGGTGAAAAAGGTTTAAAGATAAACAAAGATAAATGTCAATTCATGTTGACAGAAATTAGTTTTCTTGGTTATATATTGAGCAAACAAGGCATCAGACCTCAACCTGAGAAAACAAAAGCCATTAAAGAAGCACCCAAACCTGAAAATACCCAACAACTAAGAGCTTTTTTGGGCTTGATAAATTACTATGCAAAGTTCATAGGGAATCTGTCTGGTAAACTATCACCACTGTACAAGCTGCTACAGAAAAATGCAACTTGGCACTGGGGTAAACAACAAGAAGCTGCTTTTAATACAGCAAAAGAGGCTTTGTCTACTGACACCTTACTAACTCACTATGACCCAGGGAAAAGACTTATATTAACATGTGATGCTTCACCAGATGGTGTAGGAGCAGTCTTGTCCTACATGGATGAGAAGGGTGACAGACCCATTGCTTTTGCCAGTAGATCTTTGAACCAGGCTGAGAAAAATTATTCTCAGTTAGATAGGGAAGGCTTAGGCATCATTTTTGGTGTTAAGAAATTTCATAAGTTTCTGTTTGGTAGGAAGTTCACCATCTTTACAGATCATAAACCATTGCTAGGTTTATTTGGAGAAAACAAAACCCTACCTGAGCATGCCTCACCAAGAATTCAAAGATGGGCTATCACACTAACTGCATACAATTATGAATTGAAATACAAACCTGGATCTGAGAATAGTGCAGATAGTCTTAGTAGATTACCTTTAAAAAACCAAAGCCTGAGCTATGTACCAGAAGATGTATTTGTTCTCTTCACTATCATGGATAACTCCAATATAAATGTGAATGATATTAAAAGAGAAACACAAAAAGATGAGTGCTTAATAAAAGTATATGAGTACTGTAAGAATGGGTGGCCTGAAGAGTCTGTGAATGATGACTTAAGGCCATATTAAATAAGAAATAAAAACCTTTGTGAAGATAATATAAAAGATGGAGAAGATACAGTCCATTATCAGTCAGTTACCTAAACAAAGTATTTGTAACTTAATAAATGATTATGGTGATATGGCAATTTCAAATGTTTTAAAGAAAATACATTAGTAAGAAGGAATGTGATCATCAAACAACTTTGCTAACATCATTAGCACTTACAGAAACTAAAAGGGTAACATCAAAAGAAAAGAAAAAAAAAGAATTTTTGCCATTTAATACTTTCAGATGCCAATTCAAAAATAGTTCCATTAAATCATGACAAATCATCCATTGAAAGAGAATTTGCAGTTAATGATAATGTGCATCTAAGAAATTATGGGAGAAAGGAAAAATGGATACCAGGTCAAATTGTTCAATGTACAGGACCTGTGCCTTATAAAGTTAAAAATAACTTGTGCAGATAATAAGTGTGAATCTGTCAATCCCACCAAATCTGAACAGTTCACACCAACTCAGTTTGTTTCACAACCAAGTTCTGTTGATATGAGTGAACCAAGTTGTCTGGAGTCAGAAAATGTAAATTCTGGAGTTAATGATTTAAATCCTAGACCTCCTGAGATAGAGAACCCAGATGGTCAGAATCTTGAGTCACCAAATCAAAAGCCACTGAGAAGGTCAAGCAGGACAATCAAAGTCCCAAATAAGTTAGACCTATGATTTTAAAGGTCAAAAGGACTTTGACATCATTGTTTTGTATCTTGATTATGTTGTGGCATATTGTGCATTGTTTGTAAGGATGTAATCTACCATAATGTTCATGTTACAATATAATTGGTGATTTTAGGATACTATCAATTGTTCTATTGAGAGATGTGTTATTGTGTTCTAAGGGTAAAGGGATGTAATAGATTGAAATAATTGTGAGGTCAAGGGAACTCACTCTTCTGTATTAGTTATATTTATAATATTGTTATCTTGAGTGATGTCCCTTGTGTACTTCCTTCCGTCCTCTCTGTGTGTTACCATCGTGGTAGTTAGACCCAAATAAATGTGTTATATACAACCACAGGCTTCTGTCGTCAATCTATTATATCTTTGTCTGTCTGTTTTGTTTGCATTCATACATAATTCATCCTATTGCCATAAAACTTTAGGAAGCTGTTGAGAATATTCCGTACAGTGTTTTCCCAGACATTTGTCTCAACAGATGCCCGAAAGAAACTCTGACTCATGGGAAGTTTTCTGATATGAATTAATTTCATTTTTATTTCGGAGGGTGGCGCCCGGCAGTAGGGCGATTAGTTTTGACACCCAGTGTTCCACACCGGCTATTTTAGCACCTGGGGTCCGTTGATTGGGCGTCCTTCACAGCGGGATTAGTGTTACTACTTGATTCAACTGTCAAACTGCACAAGCGCATCAGCCGGCGATCAAATGATCCGGTGCGCCCTGGGCTCCCCCTATATTCATTTTAATGAGTGCCATACACCATATGATGCACTTTATAAATCCATGCTATTTATATTACTCCAACATTAATGCCCTCTTGGACGCCCGCAGAATTTGCATTCACATTTTGCACCCCCCCTCGAACTTTCGATTTGCACCCCCCTCAAGTTTTTCTTTATATATTTTGCTATTTTTTGCCTTGGTGTCACCCCCTAAGTGGTGTCACCCGGTGCGGTACGCACCCCCCCCCTCGCTACGCCTCTGTTAAAAGTATATATTTTCTATATAAATTATATAAATTTCATTTCGTTCGGGGGACGGTAGAATATTTTCCGGGGGGAGGGGGGCGGGGGGGGGGGGCTTCGCTAGAAAACAAGCTGTAAGCGCGCTCCCTACCGCCCCCACCCCTACATGGTCTGGTGAGCTGTGGTTCACGCTAAATATTTACATTCGTGCAGCCGGATTTAGTGACGGCTATTAGGGGCAGATAATTTTGTTTGAAACGATTTTAAACTTAGGGGAGGTAACTAAGAGGAGGCTGCTTTCGCGGGGGGGTGTAGGGCAGGGGTTGGGGGAAATGACGGTGGGGGTAGTATCGTCCTTAACGACCTACTGATAGTGTTTTAAAGCAAATATTTTCAGTGGCAAAATTGGAACTGTCGAATTCACAAATTATGAATTACTGAAAAGTAGAAAATAAAACAAATAGCGGCGTATGATATGCCGCGGGTCGGCTCGTAATATTTTATTATTAATATGAATATTATAAACCACAGAAGTAGAAAAAAATGGAAATGTTTATGGATGGAGCACATAAAGTTGATAAGTTTTAACTTCCGGTTAACAAAATACGTAAAAAAAAAAAGTCCAAAAGAAAACAACTTCGAAAGTAGGGGCTAGAACAAGATTCTAGATCTACTATTAGATCTAGATCTACAATTTTAGGGTCTAACTTTTTAGCCTTGGTTTAGTACTCAACCACTGACTGATAGATCTAAACTAACCCAGGTACGTAAAATCGCAGAGGCTAGTTCGGTTGTAGTTTAAGTAAAGTTTAAGTTAGACTAGGAAAGTGAGTAGGACTAGGAGGGGGCTAGGAGAGGACTGACTAGAGGTAGTTTTAGTAGTTGTTGTTAGTAAAAGTGGTAAACATTTCGAGCCGTCCCTATAGGATTTCATAGTGTCAGCCGCCAACTAATCAAACGCGCGCTTTCTCCACGTTTGGTTGGCGGCTGACGTCACCATGATTAGTCACGCGACGCGCTTTGGAGCTAAAAAGGGCCGAAAAAGCCATTTTTTCTACGTGTAGTTCGGATTTTTTAATGTTTTTTAAAATGTGCCCGAAAATGACCCTTTTTAAAATGGACATATATATATATATTATATAACAGCATATCGGTTAATAGTTAATATGTGAAACTTTGTCAAGAAATGTGCTGTTGATTGTCATTGGTCCATTAAATACTGTTTATTACCTTTTAATTTAGTTTTATACTAAGCTGAAACAATGTGTAATGAACTGTAAGTTTGAAGAATGAACGTACGCCTATCCTCCCCTATCCAAGAGTCCATAGACTTGTGTAAGTAATGATTGACTTGTGTAAGTAATGATAGTCTATAGACATTGTATAAAATTGAAGTGATAAGACGGGCTAACAAACAGAACTTAATCTGGTCTGTTAAAAGTAAAACTTGTTCTTAGAATACTACTTGGTGAATATAATAGCTAATCTATAATAGTCATTAACGCATTTCCTCTTGTATAGATTATTTCTGCATATATAAAAAACTATCTGAAAATTTAACTAAAATCAACATGTATTTTATTAGTCAAACGGCTCTTTTATGGTTTCCTGTAAGAGGAACCGCACAGTGCCATTTTACATCCTGCTTTTCAAGTTTTCTCAACTTGCATTTTTACGCAAAATTAAAATCGCTGAGGCTCTTGAATCTTTTTTCACACAAGACTGAAACTTTCCACTTGCATTCAGCATTAAGTTTACTGCAATACTTGAAGAAATATTGATATTTATGTCGCACCACCCCCTAATTTTTATTCATAGTTGTATGTAAAAAATGTTTATTAAATTGAATACAAGCTATCATAATGAAAAAAACAGGTATACATATGTCTGAAAAATCTAGATATTTTATCAGATTTTAAAAATCTCGTCAGAAATGCTCCAGTAATGTTTGTTGAGTTTCGTAAACATTCTTTACTGTAAACTATAGTTCATGTGACAGTTGAAATGTAGAGTCGAGTGTATAAAAATAATGTTTTTACTTAATTTTAAGTTTGGCTTGCCAGAAAATTAGTAACTATTAGTAGATCTAGATCGAAATATTAATAATACAGTCGAATTGTTTTTTTTTTAAAAACACTGAAATAAAAAATTGCAGAAGATTTGCCACAACTAGATCTAGGCTTAGTAAAATAAAATTATTAGATCTGCTAAGGTTGTAACAAGGACAAGAACAATGTTTAGTAGCACACACACTCAAAAATAATTAGCAATACAAAATAATTAGCAAAACAGTATTTAAATGCAACTAAAATCAATCTATCCAAATTTTAAAATATTCTGTATTTAAAAAAAGATGGCCCCAAATAAATTGGCATTGCGTGACAGTTTGACATGGTTTTAGTGGGGATTTTTTTCTGCTGTACCATTCCGGAATAAAAACCAACGCTATATCGTGAGATTACCTATTAATTTTTTTTAAAATTAGTTAAAAGAAAACAAAAAACAGTAGTCTCTTATATTTCTTTAGAATAATCTATCTATATATATAATTCTCTTCTGGGAGACGCTAGAAAACAAGCTGTAAACGCGCTCCCTGCCACCCCCACCCCTATATGGTCTGGTGAGCTGTGGTTCACTCTTAATGTTTACAAACAGAGCCGGGTTTAGTGACGACTATTAGGGGCAGATAATTTAGTTTGAAATGATTTTAAACATAGGGGGGGGGGGGGGGTTTACTAAGTGGAGGGCGGGGAAGGAGGGGGGGGGGCTATCGTCCTTAACGAGCTACTTATAGTGTTTTAAAGAAATATTTTCAGTGGCAGCGTTAGTAGTGTCGAATTCACAAATTATGAATAACTGAAAAGTAGAAAAAACAACAACTAAATAGCGGCGTATGATATGCCGCGGGTCGTTTATTAGAACAAGTATTGAAACATTTACTACAATCTGTAATGGCTGTTTTACCAAGAGCTCTTTATGTTGCTAGGCTTCATCAATGGACAGCAAATTTTCTGCTCAGGAAATTGGCCCAGATGAAGATCATCAAATTCGCAGACATGTAAATGCCAAACATATAAAAGGTAAACCATATAAGTGTTAGGTTACAGAGATTTATTTGAATTTGCAATGTATATATATATATAGTATTTGACAATATTTATGCTAACAGCATAATCTACAATTAACTGGCTAAAGCAACAAATACATTTTCACCTAGCATACAGTCATCCTTTAACAATCAGTTCACTAGCATACAGACATCCTCACACAATGAATCAGTACACCTAGCATACAGACATGCTTACACAATCAGTACACCTAGCATACAGACATCCTTTAACAATATGTTCACTAGCATACAGACATCCTCACACAATCAGTACACCTAGCATACAGACATCCTCACACAATCAGTACATCTAGCATACAGACATGCTTACACAATCAGTACACCTAGCATACAGACATGCTTACACAATCAGTTCACCTAGCATACAGACATCCTCACACAATCAGTACATCTAGCATACAGACATCCTTACACAATCAGTACATCTAGCATACAGACATCCTTACACAATCAGTACACCTAGCATACAGACATCCTCACACAATCAGTTCACCTAGCATACAGACATCCTCACACAATCAGTACACCTAGCATACAGACATCCTTTAACAATATGTTCACTAGCATACAGACATCCTCACACAATGAATCAGTACACCCAGTGGCGGAACTAGAAAAAAAGGGCCACCCCGCAAAGAAATATTTTGGGCCCCCTATATATATATATATATATATATATATATATATATATATATATATATATATATATATATACACATACGAAAATACCAACATAGATTAGAATACTCATTTCGGTCTTGTTCGAGTTTTAAAAAAAATAATTAAAAATACTTAGTTTTTATTAGAGTAAAATCAAGTTACAGCACATCATTTGTGTGACTGCTATTAGTCTGTTTTGAAAATCTCTATTTCAACATGTTTGCTATAATACCTCCTGTGTATAAGTCGGTCGAAATAATATGAAGCATGAAAGCTGTGTATGTGTAATGGTTTCTCGCATAACGTTTATTTTTATGTTTTTTTGTATTTATATTATTAGTTTTAAATACACTTCCTTTTTATGCTTTGTCATTCTTTAATATGTATTTTTTTTAATAATAATTTAGAGAAGTAATTGCTTTTTAATTTGTTTAGTGCAAATCTATTAAAAGGTGCTTAAGAGCACACATATTTGAGTATTTCAAAAAGGGAAATAAGTCATGGAAGTGGTTTGAACGTTTGCGTATCTTTCACGCGATGGATTTATTTTAAAAGAATTTTGCCGACAACAGCGTGTTTGATTGTAGGAGAAAGAGGACTTGAGATGGTGTCTATAGAATAAAGATAATCCAACCTCAGCTTCAGTATTCTTTTTACAAAACAACCATCAAGTCAAAAATGCAAGAAGATTTTTATTATTTAACTGTAAAAAAATTGATTATGGTCGGCTGCGGGCCCTTAAACGTCCCGGGCCCCCCCGCATTGCGGGGTCTGGCGGCACTGTAGTTCTGCCCCTGAGTACACCTAGCATACAGACATCCTCACACAATCAGTTCACCTAGCATACAGACATCCTCACACAATGAATCAGTACACCTAGCATACAGACATGCTTACACAATCAGTACACCTAGCATACAGACATCCTTACACAATCAGTTCACCTAGCATACAGACATCCTCACACAATGAATCAGTACACCTAGCATACAGACATCCTTACACAATCAGTTCACCTAGCATACAGACATCCTTACACAATCAGTACATCTAGCATAACATTTACTTTGCTAATCAACTTAACACAAACATTTATATTTTTTAGTTTTGGATACAGAAACAAGCAAATGGAAAAGGTAATCCAAGTAAATTTTGTGCTTATTAAAACAATTTTCAATACAGATTTAACTTAAAAGGGCTTTTATTTTTTATATATTTAAAATTTGTTGCTTAATTAACCATGGAAGAAAACATAATTTAAACAACAGATAACACTTTTTAAAATTACATTTTAGGGGAATATCATTTGTTGAAAGACAGTGTCCAAAGATTGCATTGTTTTTAAATGATGTTCCACATTTACGCCTTCAGGAAGGAACATATGGCTTTATTTGGGATAAGGTAAATAACAGTCATGTTATCAAATTTACTTTTTTGCTGCATTAGTAAACTGTAAATGTATTTATAAATAATTACAGTCCAAATTATCTCATTAGCAACATGCTATCAAGTAAAATGTTTTTCTTCTCCTCTGTTCTTAATTGTATCATTGAAGGGGATTTCCTACAACACAATTTAGTATTACATTTGAACAAGTGATGACCCATATGCCCAGTCAACTCTAACGTACATTCAGACTTCCTGCAGCCTGCTTTCCTTTCTGGATGTGCCTCCATAGCTTTGTTCAACCAAGAAGTTTCTGGCTCAGCAACTTACTGTTGCTGTGTGAATGTGCCTCGTCTATATATAAAAATATTATTTTAGGAAAGAGTGATCACGTATGAACACTCTGTTCCTCTTGATTTTATTCACTATTTTTCATAACTTTTCCATTTTTACGGAACATCCTACAAGCGCTTTTAAATATCTAATTTTAATGTGGTTGTTTTTTTTTTTAGATTTTTACTGAATTAAAAAAAAAACCTTCTCGATCTGCTTCTTAATTTTTTTGCACCAGATGCTGTCCCTTTATTGTTCATCTAAGCATGTATTGCTCTAATTTTTCTTGAAAGCTCATGAGCAACCTGCTAACAAGTAAAATGTTCGATCTATGAGTAAAAAGTGTTGAACTAGTTGAGCTTTGTTTATTTCATGCTCTATTTTTAGAATGAGCTCAGCAAAATTTAGCAAATGGCATTAGAGTGAAAATTTTGTATTATGTATGTTCTCAACTCATTGGTTTAATGTGCTTGAGTTTTCTGTATGGGTAGCAAGGTGTTACGAGGTAGAGTTGCTAGTCCTAGCCCAACCCTCCTTCTTTATCCAGGCTTGGGACCAGCGAGGTGCCCTTCAAAGGTTTATCTAGGGTGGATTTGTACTAGCAACATTATCAGACGGGCACTAGACTGGAACCCCACAAGGGAAGAGAAAAGTAGTTGGGCCAAAACAAACAGAATGACATGGGCCCAACCTTGAGAAATTGCACCAAACCAAGTATAATGTAGAGGCTTGGTTACGTCCCTATGCTCCACAAGGAGACCATAAGAATGATGATGTTGATGTTCTGTACTAAAGTAAACTCATCTTAGTAGACCATACAAATTTACCAGCATCCTATGTAAAGTAATGGGAGCAGAAAATTACCCCTCCCCCTTGCCAATTATACCATGTTCATTTCACCTCCCCTCCTACATTACCCCCAGGTAAGTTAACTCCCACCCCAAAAAAACTGGAGTAGGACATCACCCCCCTTACCATTCAGTTACAGATTGTCCCTAATCCTAACATTAAACAAAACTTCAACAGTAGGGCAATGTTAGGATTAGAACTGGGGTAAGGGAACTTTCTGGAGGACATGCTTATACCATTTTTCCTGCTTTAAGAAATATGATTTATAGGTTTTCTCTCAGCAGGCATTATATAGAAGCCTGATTTTCTTGCTTTGCAGACACCATGTATGTTTCTATAGTGGGGATTATTATCATGGGGGAGGAATGTCCCACAATTATAATGTTTGTATGAGGTGTTGTTTTTAAGAATTTTAAGTTACTGTTTTTAATTTCTTCCTAGAATCTCCAACCCTCTGATGGTCGGTATGAGGCTGGAGAACACTACTGTGGAACAAGAGAGCCACCTAGAAAAAGTGTCCATGGTACAGTTTCATTTTACCGTGACGGCATGACAGGTGCTAAATTTGCTATTAAAACTTTGGAGGTTTGCACAGTTAAATTATTACTTTTTTTTGTTAATTACTTAACAATTTTTTGAGCCCCTGAAATTCATGGTTTTTTTTTCATGTTAATACAGTTGGGTCATTATGTTTTGTTTTGTCTAGGACATTCCCCCCATTCACCACCATTTTACTCCCAGATGAATTAGCCCCCAGGGAATAACCCCCCTCCCCCTCAGAGTAATTCCCAGCTTCCCCCTTATGAATACTTAGCATTTTATAAAATGCCTGAAATGGTCTTACAGTCTATAATAATAAGCTTATTCTATGTAGAAATCTCACTAACCTAAACATATTTCTAGCCTTGTTCCTATGTTTAATCAAAACCCTATGAGGTTAGCTAGTAATTCTCAGGCGGGTATTGTCCAAAAGCAATTTTTTTTGACATAAGTAATTTATCTAGGGGTTAATGATAATGTGAAAAATTACTTAGGGGAGGGGGATTTCCTGCCCCTTATTGTAGATCTGAAAATAGTTCTGATAGACCCATCTGTTAGACTGTTGATTTATTTAGCTTATGAGCTGACCCGCTATCTAGTTGTTTTATTTTCTACTTATCAACAATTCATAATTTGTGAATTCGACTCTACCCCACCCCCCTGCCTCTCCCCACCCCCTGTCTCTCCCCCCCACCCCCTGCCTCCCCCCCAACCCCCCCCCCCCCCACTCCCCCACACACACCCCCCCCCCCCCCCAGTGAAAGTAGCCGCTTACAGATGACAATGAAAATATCAAGCAGAACTTATATCTCCCCTTAGTTTCAAATCGTTTAAAAACTAAATTCTTTGCCCCAATAGCCATCACTTATTCAAACCGGCTCTACTATTGTAAACATTCGGGGTGAACCATAGCTCACCTGACAGGTGGGGGTGAGGGTGGTAGTGATATGGGTAGAAAGCGGGGTAGGAACGGCTAAGCTGCGTGGTGTCTCGTATGGTTCCCATGAAGAGAATTGTATATATAGATTAAATTAAGACAAAAACAAAAAGGTACTTTTTACTCTTTTTGAGTGTACAGTTAAATCTTTCTTTTTTTTTTAGTTAAAATTAAATTTGTCCATTGTTAATATTCATACCTAGTGTGCCAATGGGTTTAGAAATGATGATTATTGTTAATTTAAATTTGAAAGAAGTAATCTTCATAAAAGTTAAAATAACAAATATCTGTCTATATTTTACACCAATAGTCCAACGGGAAAAATTGCTTAAATTTAATATTGACTGTATTTATTGATTTTAAGAAATTCATCAGATAGACATTCTGTTTACTTCTAGGAGAATGCCCACTTTCATCCCAATGAAATTAGGGTTGGCCTTACTATTGAGCACCCTAACATCTGCTCTGTATATGGAATCATCATCCGAGCACATCGCATTCATATACTCTTAGAACATGCAGGTCATAATATTTTAGTACAGCTGTCAATTTATTTTAGTGTGTCTCTGTTCATCTTACTGCATAGCATAAATTATAAATTTTGTAAATGAATTTAATCAGTTCTATTAAAAAATTTAACACTAAAGGTAAAACCTTTTTACTCAGGTTCACCATTGAATGAAGAAAGAACTTGGATTACACAGTCACCACAGCGTATGCTTCTGGCTGCAAAACAAAGTTTTCAGGCCTTAGAGGTTTTGCATCTCAATGGATTTGTTCATTGTGACATTAAACGTAGGTTGAAAGTTGATTTTAAAAAAAAAATTTTTTGTCTGCTTGGGGCATGGAACCAAAATTACACTTCATTGAACAATATTTCCAGATACCTTTTCAACCGAGACCAAGCCCTTCGAGACCCCATAATTTCATTCTTGCTGGAACTTTGTTGGTTTTTTGGTTTTGCTTTAGCCAGAGGTTTCTTTTTTTTTATTATTTGGTTTTTTTAAGGTTTCCTATCCCTGACTTATGTTTTTGCTGAATTAGACTTTTGTTCACAATTTTATTTCATCTTACTATCAGTATGTTTCCTGTTTTAATTCATGTAAGAAATAGGAGCTGTTTAAAATTTTGACTGCAAATATTTTCTGTTTTGTTTAAAATTTATTTCACCAGCTGATAATATAATGATATCAAAGAAATGCAGTGACTTTACTGTGAAACTAATAGACTTTGGCAGCTGCCAGGCAGTTGGCGCTGGACTGCCAGAACATGCTCATACCACACTGTATTACTGGTCTCCAGAAATGTGGCTTTCACTTGACCAGAAGGTATCAGAGTTCTAGTCTTGTTGCTTTTATTTTAGTCTTCATTACCGCTTATCCTAAAATGATATTTTATTTTTTAAAAGATGAAATGATTATTAACTTTCCCCCAGAAACAAGTGATCTGTCGATTTGCTATGGATGTTTATGCGATGGCTTTGACATTTTATTTTGTGCAGACATCCAATCATTTAATTCAGATGCTTAATGAGAAAGAAGTTAAAAATCTTGTAGGTATTTTTTCCCACTAACAAAATTACATTTACCTGCATAATTTCAATTTCTTTATATCGAAGTTAATACAAATATTTATTTTTTACTTAGTTAAAAAATTAGTTATTTATTGACTAAATTCTAAGAAATGAACCTTTTAAAAAAATACATTTTTCTTAAGAGTTGAAGTTTATTACTTGGCTAAAGTTATGGATAAAAACTTTGAACAAAAGATCAAAGTTCATCCAGCTATGGCGAGTACCTGACATAAGTTTGGGGAAATGAAGGATAGCCGGCCATTGTGTTGACCACACCTCTACATTTTTTGCTAAGACTATGGCCTATCCTGATAGACTTTTAATTATTTAGAGCTTAGTTATCAAAGGATAAATCAACAGTAAGCCTGTTTCTGACTGCAATCAAATTCTCTAAGACTGTTTAGTTTTACAGCTGGTGAATGACATGCATTCTTTCACCATAAGCTGAGTATTTATGTATTAACAGTACCGGGGAAACATTAAAAGGCTTAAAGTTTTAATAGTACTGTAGCTGTATTTATTTATCTTTTAGATGGTGGAAAATCCAGATTTTATTCTGCTGATTGCACTTCCAGAAACCATTCCCACTGAACTTAGGGCAGTCATGCGGCCATGTCTTGCAGGTTGTCCTGAAGCTCGATGGAGCGCCGAGCAAGCAGTCCGGCAGCTAACAGGTAAATACTAATTATTCCAAGGGGAGAAACTTTGAATTCATTGCGTGAGTTACTGATTATGGAAATGTGTATTTTAAATGCTTCATGCCTTTTTTCCATAGAAGACACGCTGACATCGGTAGAAAACTACAAGGATAAATTTGAAAGATTATATGCTCTGCTTAAAAGCAGTCCATCAGAAGTATCTGCCAAAACAGTATTTGGAGAGCAAGCTCCTTCATTCACTAGAGATCAGCCAGAAGGGGTGCAGTATTTTGTTGGTAACAGTAAAGGGCCAGAGAAAAAAGAGATAACGCCAGCAAAAAACAGAAAGAGTATTGCATTCACAGCTAGTAAGTGTGGTAGATCTGCTAAATGTAAAAAGACAATGAAATCTATAGTAAAAGTGAAATCTCCCCGGAACAATTCCCTTGAAAGAAATGTTGGCAATCTCTACCAGCCTTGTTCACTTTTAACAAAGTTGGAAAAAACTTCAACTCATGCTAACTTTGAGCCATCAACTGATGAAAAAGCATATTCTTGCTCTATTTTATTGAAAAATCTTGCGCTACAAGTTCAACCTTCTGAGAAGAAAAAAGCCATTGCAGAAGAAATAGCAGGTAATAGGACTGTGAGTCCACTGGAAGGCATTTTCACCCAGTGTGATATGAGTAAAGATTCAAGCATGAAATCTTTAAATGTGAAAAAAAACATTAGTACAAAGAAGTTGAGCATGGAAACTTTAAAGTTTTCTATGGTTCAATGTGATCAAACAGAATTTTTGTCAAGTGGAAAAATTATTGACAAGATACAGAGCAAAGCAAAGAGTGAGCAAGGCGCTAAGTCAGTCTTGCATAACAATAGCAAGCACATAAAAACCAAAGGATCTCCCCCTGAGTTAAACATTGAAACAAGAGATGCAATCCTTGAGTCCCAAAAATCAAGCTCTAATGCCCAGAATGTAACTCAACCATTCCCAGAAATAACAGATATCAGAGTACATCCTCCAGTGCATGAAGTATCTGATGGTCTTGACACCAGAGAGAATCTCAATGTGGGGGATGACATGGACTTTGTGATTGATGCACTGGGACCAACTATTCTCACAGGAAATGATGATGACATTCTCAACAACTGGGTTCAAATGCTAGAGAAAGATGAAGCAACAGAAAAAAGCTCTAGTGTAGAGGCAGCCATAGATGTGAACCTTGATCAGTTCAGGAGTGAGGCCTCTGTGCCAGCAGAGGAGGCCATGGATACAGATGAAAGTGACAGTAAGGTTGGGATGTCAAGCATGAAACATCAGGGAATAAGTAGAAAACGCATGTCTTATCCTTTGGAAACACATCCAATTCCAGAAAAAACTATTTGTCCTGATCGTGATCAGATTTTGCCAAATTTTGAAGAAATCTTGCGTTAGCTTTTTTAATGTCTGACTGCATGACCACACATTAAATTTAGACAAGTATTTCACAGCCTCACCAGGTGTTTTACTAGTTCTGGGTGAAGAAGAAAACTGGATCTCCAGAATTTTCATTTGTCAATATTGACAAAATGTTTTAGGGTCATGGAACATTTCTTATGCTGGTTGACATACTTTCTTGAAAAGCAGAGTAAATAAATATAATGGTTATGTTTCCAGTGCAACTTTTATTAAAAAAACCTCAAAACCATCATGCTACTAATTGCAGATTTAAATAATGTACCACTCTTAATCCACCATTGGGTATGGTAAAGAGATGGAAGTACTACTAAGTGTTTCTTTTTCAGTTAAGAAAATATGTCTATCTTATCAGCTAATGTTCTTAATTATATTGTTAGTAGTCACATTAATTAGAAGTGATCTAAGCTTGTGACCACCTTTTAAACTCAAATTAGGAGGTTGGTATGGTTTCTAAACCAAAAAGTCCCAAGTTCAAACCCCCAAGCAGATGAGGCTTGATAATTGTGGACAGCAACCCATCTGAAGAGAAAACTCCAAAATCAAACAGCTGCTGCCTTGCAGCTTGTCTTGGGAAGGCAAAGGCTATCAAAGCAAAGCCAGAAAGAAAAGCAGGCTGAAATTTGAGTCAACTGGCCATATGGCACATAACATGTTGACACATAATACTTGTGTTGGATAAAATCTCCTCCATTACAATTAAAAACAGAGAAGAGAATATTTATAATCCAGTTTGTATGAGAAATCATTTCCAGTTCTCTGTATAACTGGAATTAAAGGATAGGATATAGATCTAATATTTAAACAATGTAAATGTTTATAAAAGTGGTTTTGCTGTAGTGATAAAATATTTTATATTATTGTACAAAATGATCTTTAAACAATACTTCAGGAATTTGCAAGATTGAAGCTGTTTGATTGTACATTCTATTGTCCATCATTTTTAAAAAAAACTGTTCACTTAATTGACTGATGGTGTATAAAAATTATACCTGCCTATATACATTTATATATGTATTTATGTCCAAAAAAGTGTATTAATGCTTTCCCTGTTTGAAATTTCAATGTAATTTAATGTAAAATTAATAAAATGTATGTAAAAAACCTGTTGTATGATGTTTATGATGCCCTCTGTTACCATGGTAACACGAGCTCACAGATCTTTCAAGAACTTGTTATGTTTTTCCCAGATTGAAGATAAACACAATTTTTATCTGGACACTTGTCATCTCTAGTCAAATACATTGTAAACTAATGTCCAAGCAGCATTGACATGACTTCTTACACCAGAGTAAATAGCTATTTCATTAGGCATGAAAGAGATTGTATCTACAACAGCTACTTAGCATACTTGTTTGATATTAATACTTGAGCCATATTTAGCTGTATGATCACCATTGAGCTGGTTTGTGGTGCCCAGTTCACCATGAAGCTTTTAGGTGGGACCCAGATCTGAATGGAGATGAAAGCTCTACCTAGATTTGAAATGAGCTGTTAAGCTGTGACCCTATTCCTTATTACTGTTTTAAGCTTTAACAATATTCATGTATTGATCATGTTTGCACATAAAATGATGTACAATGTTATTGAAAACAGAAAATAAACTTGTTAATGAATTGGTGTACTGTTCTGTAATTTTCTTAAAAATGATTTAAACCTTGTTACATGAATATTCATTTAAATAATGATTTTCTTTCATATAATATTATAATTATATGCCTATGAGGACGGTAATGCTAGTATGCTTTGTTAAACCCCTCACAAAATTCCAGAGTTAGATAATATGTACAGCCTCTTGACAATGTAATTTCCTTGACTAGTGAAATTAGATTAGCATAAAAGGGGAAGGTGGGGTGGGGGATGCGTGCAGAACTAGGGGGTTATCCATTTATGCTATCTACATGAAAAGAGGGGGGGGGGGGGTTCAGAAGAAAATCGTCTTTTAATGGAGGGAATGGGTTATATCCACATGGACGTCCATTTGTTGAATTTACCATCGAAATACTTGATTTTTAAAACAAAAATGCGTAACCTGCGTTTAACATGTACGGATCTTGTCCAGGTAAGTCCACCAAAAAGTTAGCCCCGCCGCCCATTAAAGATTTTTAAAAAGGTTTAAAACCCTTAATCTAGCCCTAAAAATATTTAACACAGTGAGTTTACGGCTTAAACTCTGCTTCTAACATCAGTGCAACATGCATCTCTTCACGCATCATCCAGAACAGTGCTAACAATCATGTAACCAGGGTGGACAAACTCCAGAGAACCCGTGTTTAATGGGGTCATGATGTTTTCCGAAGCATTCCAACATAAAAATAATATTTAAAAAATAATATGTTACAAATAGGCTTACGGGCTATATAAATCATTCAACTACTTGGCAATGACATTTTGGGAAAACATATACCCTAGGCAGTGGTTCCCAACCTTTTACGAGATGGCGACCCCTTTTATAAAATGTAAGTGACCCGTGACCGCCATAAAATTAAAAATTCGAAACTAGTAAGAAAATTAATAAGCACTAAAAATAAGATTTTCTAGTAGACTTTCAATATGAATTATTTGTGATAACTGTTTTAATACGATGAGTAAAATTGCATGCTATTAAAGCCTCAACATTCGCGGTTGAGTTTTTGATAACGCCAACCTCATGTCATTCTCAACATTTAATTAATTTCTTTGTTTTGTTTTTAATTGGAGAAGTGTTTAAAATCTATTCTCTCTAAAATATGTAGACACAGGGAACTAAAACTCGACAGGCAATCAATTTCACGTTTGGGTATGAATGGTGCATGCTACACCAAAATAGTGTGGGCAGAATTCATCCTGCAATTCATCGGGAATACTGGCAACATCAAGAAGAGCTGAGGAAGGGCAACGCCTCAATGCAGAATCTTCATCTTTCGGCTCAGGGAAAATAAAACCACAGTTTGTTGTCAAGAAATTCAAGATGCCCAGAGGCCTCTTTCAAATTTGTATTTATCTCACAATCACATTCACCTACCAACACTGCAGAGTTTCTCAAACATGGCAAAATTTCCAAGATTTATTTTTTTCGCCAATTTTGCAGTTTTAATAAATAATGCCCCGAGATTGTAATGAAAAGAGATAATATTCGTTCATTTTCCCTGAATCTTCAGCTAAAACTATTTTTCTATTCGAATATATCTGCTAAGTACAGTGGTGTCGCTAGGTCGGGTGTCACCCGGTGCGGCACTTCGTTGTGTCACCCCCCCCCCCCAAGAAACAAAGTATATATATATATATATATATATATATATATATATATATATATATATATATATATATATATATATATATATATATATATATATATATATATATGTTACGGTCAAAGCCCGAAGTGCGGCCAAACCCCGGATTGGCCGGCCAATGCGCGGATTGGCCGGCTCTCTTGGCCAAAGCCCGAAGAACTTAGAACTAAGATCGTATTTCGTACATTGGCCGGCCAATGCGCGCACTGGCCGGGACGTACTGGCCAAAGTCCGAAGTACTTAAACTTGACAGCGTATTTTGTACATTGGCCGGCCAATGCGCGCATTGGCCGGGATGTCCTGGCCAATGTTGTATCTAGACTAAGTTGTGATCGCGTTTTAATTATTCTGGGTGCGGTTTCATTTTGAGTAACGTATTGTTTTGCTCTTGTTTGTATAGCATTCTATATGCAAGGCGACATGGATCAAAAGGGCCGTCAGACCAAGAGACAGACATAGCAAATGGCTGTCAAAAGAAAAAAATGTAAATCCATGTTAGTTTCAATATATGGGCTACAACTGTATGTGACAGCCTCCTCCATGATGACGAGGTGAGACAATCATCAAAGAACAAAAGACAGTCGGCGTCACCGACCACGTGCAACAAGACGGAACGTTCAAAAGACTTTTCCGCGTTCCTAGATGTTCAAAACATGATGATGACATGGATGCAAACAAATGAATCAGCTCATTGGGCTGAGAGTCTCAAATTCATTCAATTTATGAAAAATCGTTCTTTTCATCAAGGAATCCAACAATCACCATACGAAGCCTTGTTTGGATGCAAAGCAAAAGTGGGACTTAGCACTTCAAATCTACCAAGAGAGGCTCTCAATAAAATAGCTACTGAGGAAGATCTTGAGAACATTGAACAAGAAATGGAGGTTGCCATAAATGCAACTACATCCTCAGCTCACACATCTACTGCCGTGGCGGAACGTCCAGACCAGTTGCGTGACAATAATGTGGCCAACAGATTCTGTATAGTTTGTGAAAAACATTGTAGTGCAGCTCATTCTTGTGGATCCTGTGGCAACGATGTGCATGCTATTTGTGGAATACTCAATGAAGCAGACGAAGGGTACGGAGGGAACATTACCTGCAGATTGTGTCACAACAAACAAGACATCATGGAACACAGGTCAGCAGCTCATACTGGCTTGCAAAATCAAGGTGCTAAGATGCTTAAAACATCAAATACAAAATTTAAAGATGGTGGAGTGGGTGACAATGTACGCATCCGTGTTCCAGATGTTGACAGAGGTCGCGGTGATCCCCGAAGCGTGATTGCAGTTGTCATGAGCGTCGAGGGCGGTTTCTACAAATTAGGAACCGAACATGGTGTTCTAAAACAACTGTATGCTAGAAGTGAGTTTTCATTTCTTCACGAAAAACTGCTCTTATCGTCGTCAGTTGGCACTGAGGAAAAATCACTACGAACCATCGCATCTTCATCGCATCTTCACAATCATTGACTGGGGGCCAAGGCTACACTCGCTGCAATTGCACAACCAAGTGTACAACAAATCGCTGCAAGTGTAAAAATAACAAGCTGCTATGTAATTCTAAATGCCATAAAAGTTCAACTTGTTGTAACAAATGATAATATTGATTGATTGAGACTATAGTACAATAAAAAATTTGAATGTTTCTGTCATTTACTTTAAATAATAATCAATAAAGACTTAATTTCATGATCCTACCGGCATAAAAAAAAACAAAATCTGCTCATGATCTTCTAATTAAGACTTTGGCCGGTCCACCATGGCCAGTCCGCGGACTGGCCGGGACTGGCCGGCCAAAGGCCGAAATCAAGAGCTATTTCAGACTTTGGCCGGTCCACAATGGCCAGTCTGCGGATTGGCCGGCCAAAGGCCGAAATGAAGCAAAGTTTCGGACTTTGGCCGACCTATGGGAGGCGATATTGGCCAATGCGCGGATTGGCCGGCCAATCCTAGCATTGGCCGACTTCGGGCTTTGACCGTAACATATATACTTGTGTATAAACTTTAATCACTGCAGACTTAATAGTAACGATGTTTATCTATAGTCTGTATAGTCTGTTAATAATACAGTTGGATGTAGCATTGTTTTCTATATAGTTAGCATGTTTACACTATGGTGTCACCCCCATCATCTTGGTATAATTGTCGATTCGTACTTAAAAGATTATTTAACTTTAATTAACCATAAATGGAACTGGCAAAAAGCGCATTCTTCTTCTGTATATTTTGCAATTTTTCGCTATGGTGTCACCCCCCTAAATGGTGTCACCCGGGGCGGTCCGCGCACCCCCGCCCCTTCCTTGCTACGCCCCTGGTGCTACTCTCTCCAAGCACTCTTTGTCGTTAAAATATTTCAAAGAGTCTAGTTACCATTGCACTTCCAAGAACAACTTGATTTCATCTTTTGATTCAAAAACACATAGTCACAACATTTCCTTTTGACAGCCCGCCTACTGTTGTGCTATTCATGTCTTTGCACAGTTATTTAAACAGACGGGTGTTAGGGCTCCAGATTTAATATAATTTACGTTTTGTAAACACAGCTCACCAGACTGGAGTGGCAATCCCCCTTATACATGACTTTTGTCGACTTCAAAAAGGCGTTTGACAGTGTGAATAGAGATGCTATCTGGAAGTTAATGAGCCATTATGGAATACCCAAATAATTTATATCTATTACACAGAAACTATATGAAGACTCCACCAGTCATGTAATACACAAGGGAAAGCTAACAAAACCATTCACGGTGACAACGGGAGTAAGACAGGGATGTATGCTATCGCCAATGATATTCTTGATGGTAATCGACTGGATCATGCTGAGGGCCACAAAAAAACGACACAGGAATCCAGTGGAGTTTTACAAAAAGGTTGGAGGATCTTGATTTTGCCGATGACATCTGCCTACGATCTCATAAGCATCAACACACGCAAGCCAAACTAAATCGGCTGTCTGAAGAAGCCTCCAAAATTGGACTAAAAATAAAAAAACAAAAAAAACCAGAGGTCATCAGAATCAATAACAGCCAGGACCTGCCCATACAGCTAAATGGAGAAGATTTACGAGAAACAAACACATTCACATATCTGGGAAGCGTGATCAATAAGGACGGGGGAGCAGACGAGGACATAAAATGCCGTATCAACAAGGCTAGATGTGCCTTCAACTCACTGCGCCCGATGTGGAGGTCCACGGCCCTGTCACTCCGGAGCAAAATTGGGATTTTCAACACGAATGTTAAGGCAGTGCTACTCTATGGCTCGGAGACCTGGAGAGTTACGAAGACAAATACTGATAGTCTACAGGCGTTCGTAAACAAATGCTTAC